ATTTTTTATTGATTTCAGAGAGGAAGGGAGAAGGAGAGAGATAGAAACATCAATGATGAGAGGGAATCATTGATCGGCTGCCTCCTGCACGCCCTACACTGGGGATGGAGTCGAAACCCAGGCATGTGCCCCGACCGGGAATCAAACCGTGATCTTCTGGTTAATAGGTCAATGCCACTTCGGGCTGACACCATAATATTTAATAATTATTTAATAATGGCCCCAAAGCCTAAGAGCAGTGAAGCTGGCAATTTGGTACACCGAAGAGAAGCTATAAAGTGTTTATTTTAAGTGAAAAGGTATGTATGTATAGGAAAAAACATAATATTCATGGGGTTTGGTACTATCCACGGTTTCAGTCATCCACTGGGGGTATTAGAAAGTATCCCCATGGATAAGGGGGACTACTGTACATAAAAGCATCTAATGGTGCCTTACACACAGTAGGTGGCCCTTAACTCCTGCTCTAACTCCTTTCCCTCTCCCTAAACTGTACGTCTGTGCTCTGCTTCCTTTAAGGTAGTAATTGTCTCTCTCTTCACCCTAATATCCCAAGTGCTTAGAATAATGCCCAGCAGAGCATGGATCCAATACATGGAGGAATGAAGTACTTCAATATCATTCTCTGATCACATCAGTCACTGAAACCTTTCTTCTTAACATCAATAGCACTGACAACCACCACCCAATAAATAGGATTGCATCTCATGATCAAAAGAGCCATTTGGTCCAAACATCCTTCCAGAGTTCGAATCTCCTCCACATCATCCCTCCAGTCTATATGTGGATATGTCCAGTGTCAGGGAACTCACTCACTGACTTTTTAAAAAATATATATTTTATTGATTTTTTTTACAGAGAGGAAGGGAGAGGGATAGAGAGTTAGGAACATTGATGAGAGAGAAACATCGATCAGCTGCCTCCTGCACACCTCCCACCGGGGATGTGCCCACAACCAAGGTACATGCCCTTGACCGGAATAGAACTTGGGACCCTTCAGTCCACAGGTTGGCGCTCTATCCGCTGAGCCAAACCGGTTAGGCATAGGTTTGTGATTTTCAATCCTTTCCCTATTCCAGACATATCAGAGGGATACCCTGACCCATGGCTGGCCATGGCAGTGATATGGGGCCTTTTGTGAGGAAACCCCTGCAGATGGTTCTGCTTTTCCCAGATACTGCCTCAGGGATAGGAACATGCCTGCCCTTCCCCCCAAATCATCAGGCTCTTCCTGGGGCCTTTTGTGAGGAAAACCCTGCAGATGGTTCTGCTTTTCCCAGATACTGCCTCACAGTAACGTGAGCTATTGGTGTACAAATGGGGGCTTTGTCTTCTAAGTCGGCATCCTTGTGGTCTGATTTGTCAACAGCAGCTGCATCTCGCTCCGGAGCGGTCCCAGAGGAAAGGCTGAAGGGCGGCTGCAGGGGCTTCATCCCAGGCACCTCCTAGGAACTGAAGTTCTGCCTTTGCCGTTTTTTTTTTTTGAGGAGATGCCTCAGGGCTTTTTCAGCTCAAACACACATCTTCCATTATTCCGGATGGCAATAATGATCTTTGAGCTGGCTCTAGCTGCTCACACGATCTCTCTCCATCCTGACAATGACCTGCATCTCCGTCACCTCTGTGTCCTTAGCATCTAGCATGATGCCTGGAATATAGCGCTGCTCCAAGTTGTGTGTGATGAACAATCCTCTGAGTCCGGTAGAGGTGACTCCTTTGACTCCTGGCTCTTTGACTCTTGGTCTTAAAATTAAACTTACTTTCTGTGTGTTTATTTTAAATAAATATTAATGTGCAATTAAACTTATACCGTACCTCACAAATACCATTAATATTTATTCTTTATTAAATAGCTTTTAAAAATCCTCCCAAAGGTTGTCACCAGCTAGAAGATAAAGTCCGAACTCCTTAGCCTGAAACTTAAGGCCTTCAGTGACTTGGCCCCGGATCACCCCTCCAGACATGTCTCAACAAATGTCTCACCAGATGTTCCCCTTTGGGCAAGGCCAAGGCGGATGGTAGTTTAGTTACTGTACCAGACTGTGTGTTAAAACACCAGGTTCAAGTCTGAACTCATACTAAGAAGCCGTGAAACTTGGGGCAAATCACTGACCTTATCGTTTTCTCATTGTAAAACCTGCCCTGCTCATTGCACAGGGTCAAACAAGGCAGTTGAAGGTAGTGATCAAAAGAGATCATGTATCAGTGCATTTTGTGGGCAATAAAGCACTGTACAAACATAAGGGGTAACAATACTGTGTTCCTGCCTCTGCCCTTTGCTTGTATCATTTCCACACCCTGAAACCTTTATCCCTTCTTCCTCACCATTCACTCATTTACTCACACATACACCCAACAGATATTGATGGATGTCGCAGGAGCCTGAACGCACTGTTTTCTCATTGTAAAACAGGAATAACACTGTGTGCTGGCCCCGATACACAGGGGAGGAAAATCCAATCTGTTCTCTGCCCTCACAGAACATAGGGTCTTGCGGGGGGAAATGGTTACAAACTGAATAATCATCCAAACAAAAGTAAAATTGCAGCTGTGACTTAAGCTCAGGAGTGGGTCCGTAGGGCCTGCCCTCTGAAACTATAACAGGGGACCCAGGATTTAAGCTGTCTCCAAGGCCAAGTTCAAAGTCTGCTTTCTCCAGGAAACCTTTTCTAACAGTGCCCCAGAGAGCTGCACCCTCGCCCTGCCCCCAATTTCAGTTAACTTATCTAGCTAGCTCATGTCATCATACCCAGTCAGGCCTTGTTATTTTGTTTTCTAGTGAGCCTGGTTTTCTGGATTTCACTGTAAGTGCCTTCTGGGCAGGGAATGCCTGGCACGCTCTCTTATATACGACAACACCAAGCAGAAGGCAAACTCAATGTCACATGAGCTCTAAGCTCGTGTGTCAGGGATGTCATTTAATAATGGCCCCAAAGCCCAAGAGGAGGGTCCCCTACCTGAAAGCGAGCTCCAGAGGAGACAGGCAGCTGCCTAAGACCACCTCCCCATCCCTATCTCATGATTGTGCCCACGGGCCCTGTTCTTCTTCAGAGGAGGAAAAACTCTTCCCTAGAACATCCAGTCTGCTTCCTAGCGTGCCATCTTGCTCCAACAAAAATTTGATCATATCTCTCCCCAGCTAACAATCTTCAGTGGCTCCTGAGTCTTCAGGACAAAGCCCAAACTGCTCAGCATGGCACCCACATCCCTTCATGGTCTGACTCCAGACTAGCTCTCCAGCCTCAACTTCCAAAATGCTCCTCACACTCTAAGCTCCAGTCATATCATTCTTTTTCTTTAAAATATTTTTTAAAATATTTTTATTTGGAGGGAAGGTGGGGGAGTGGGAGGTAATCAACCAAAGACCTTGTATGCATGTATGCATAACGCATGGACGCAGACAGTGGGGGGGATGAGGGCA